AGGACGCATAGCCCTGGTACAGGGCAGACCCTGGGGGCGAGTGTCAGGGGCTGCCCCCCAGTCCTCCTCCTCCGTGCGGACCTCTCCCCTTCCCCACATGTCCCCCTGGGTCTCACCCCCACCAACAGTGCCATTGCCCCATGTGTCTGGCCTTTGCCAGCCCTGTGCCCCCACCATGCCCTCTCCTGGCCCCTCTTGTTGGCACTGTTGGCCACAGTGGCCTTCCCGGGGCGGGCGGTGGCGAGTTCTCACTTGTGAAGCATCCCTGTCAGAAGCACTTAGTGTACAAATTAGCGTGGCCTCCGCGCCTCCTTCCACAGCTCTGGGCGCGGGGCTGACTGGGCCGAGGCTCCAGGCCCTCTCGCACCTGCCCGGGGCGCACGCTGCCCAGTGTGGACCCCTGGCTGCCTCCCCACGTCCTAGCAGGAGTTCCCGCTCCCCACTGGCCGGCTGGGGCTCCCCCAGAACCCCGACCTAGACCCGGGCAGGGGTGACCACATCGGGCGGGGGATGCTTAGTGAGGTATGGGGGGTGGGAGGCCATGGCCCAGCATCCACCCCGAGTGGCCAGCCCTGGTGCCGGGGGCCATGCTGGGGCCCCACCGCCCCACCTGCCCATCGGAGGCCCCGCCACCCCACCCGCCAGCCGGCCTGCCACTCAGGCGGGGAAAATCATCTGTGACAGGCCCAGGAAGGCCGGCCCCGGGGGCCGCAGAGAGACGCGCACAGCTCCTCTTCCCAACATATGGCTGCTGTCGGCCCCGGGCACTGCTGGCCAGTGCCAGCCTTGGGAGCCAGTGGGGGCTCGGGCAGCCGGAGCCTCCCATCACACCCGCCTGGCCGGCTGCCCTCTCTGTCGGGCTCGAGGCTCCGACCCAGCTCCCAGCCTCCTGGGATGGGGGCTCACTCTCCCACTCCAGCAGCTCGGCCCTCCAAGGAGCGTCCAGCAGCCCCGTCCGTCCCAGACGCCCAGGACACACAGAGGGTCAGCCCCACACCCAGCCCAGGGTGGCCAGTGTCCGGCAAGTCCAGGGGAGGACTGCACTGCGTGGGGAAGGGCCCAGCCGGGGTCTTCTGGAGCTGAGCCGCTGGCGGGGAGGGGGCGCTCGGACCCTCCGGAGTGGGCTCTGGGCCGGTCGGAGCTGCTTTGGAGGACTCCGCCTGGCAGAGCTGTGTGCAGGCCCAGGGTGCTAGAGCCAACGACTCCTCCTGGAGCCCCCATGCAGGCACCTCCTAACAGGGTCCCCTTTCCATCAGGTGGAGGACCCCCGAACTTCCCAGGCTCTTCGTGTGCCCCCCATACCCATGGGCCGTTGTCCTGGGCACTCCAGCCAACTCGACGGCCCAGCCCCATCCGTGATCCCCCTGCAGCCCACTGTGGGCCTGCCCATCACGGCTGGCAGCTTTGGGCTGGTGCCAGTTTCATGTGTGGCCTTGACCCCTTCGGCCAAGGCCCAGGCTGCCCTCTCAACCTGGGGTCCTTGGGTGGGTGGGAAGGAGAAAGCCCCCAGGAGGCCTGTGGTCCTTGAAGTGCTCTGAGGTGGCCACTGGCCCTGGGTCCGTTAGCGAAAGGGCAGACATCAGCCATGGCCAGGCACCCTGCACAGCACTGAGCCCACTCGGGGCGGGGTGGGGGGCTCCATCTAACTGCCACTGGACAGACATGCCGGGGTTTCAGGCCCCGCGTGGGGCTTACAGCCTCCGTCCCGACACTGGCTGAGCCGACGCTGAGGGGATGAGACAGGCCTGTCCCCGGGCACTGGCCATGCCGGGCGCTGCCTCCCTGCCTTCCCTGAGCCCAGCTCTCCGTCCTGGCCTCGCGCCCCCCCGGCACACAGTCTCGGTGTTAATGGAGGTGACAGGCGGGCAGCCGTGGGCAGACCGGGCAGAAGAGGTTAATGGCCAACATGAGCTTCTGGCTGAAGGCAGAAGGAGGGGCCGTGGGGGCGCCATCCCACCCTGCACTGGGACTGGCTAACGAGACATCAGGGCACCCACGAGGACCCACCAGAGCAGAAGTGCCTGCCCCGTTCTGCAGAAGGGGGCTGTGGCCCAGGAAGTGGGGGGCACAGGTGCCCAAACACAGTCTCAGTCACCACCTCAGGAGAGGCCACCTCTCCAAACCCAAGGTCGGCCCTGTCTGCAAGGGCTGGGTCCCAGCAGGTGGGTCATGGCCACAGTAAGGAGGCCGCTGTGCCCAGGAAGCCCTGGGATTAGGGGGTGCTGACACTGACCACCCAGCCTCTCTGGGCTGTTCGTGGTGGGGACAGTCATCTGGGCACCCGAGGTACCGGCCTCACACACCCCTCACCCCCACCATGCATGGGCTGTCTGGGTGCAGCCACGGCTGAGTCTCACGACCCCCACCAGCAAGTGCAGGCCCTCTTCCTCCTGGCCAGAGCCCTCCCTGGAGGATGGAAACGTGTCTGGGTTGTGCCCCTGGGCTCCCCTGGGGGTTGCCACCTCTACTCTTCTCACCCAAACTTCTGCAAAGGCTCGTCCGTGGTGAGGAGGGGCGTGGGGGGCTCCAGCTGCTCCCTCCGGCCTGCTCAGCACTGAGCACGGCCTTGTCCCCCTCTGGGGCTCCTCGGTCCTCTGAGCTTCACTGGACTTCATTCCCTGCTGCTGAGATCGAGGCCCCCCAACACCAGGGCTCCCTGCTCCCTTACTGTCCTTCCCCTGGATGATGGCCAGAGCCTCCAGCCAGCCAGTCTCCTGTGCTGTCAGCTGTGGCCTCTTCCAGACCTTCAGAGGGTCAGCCTCGGGCTGACCAGTGAGGGGCTACTGGTGTCCGGGTGACCAGCAGTCCCTCGGGTCACCGTCTCAGGGTGACCTCGGCCCCTAGTGTCGCCGGGCAGTGCTCGGCTGAACACGTCCAGAGCAGGGTCTATGCACAGAAGCAGCCGGCCTCCTGGCCCCCACTCTCCACAGGGCTGCTGGCGTGACGGAGCCCAAGCTGTCTCCCGGCCCGGGGCTGCCTGCACGGTCAGCTGGTCAGCTGGGCCAGGCCAGGCGGGCAGAGAGAAGATTGGCATGCTCTGCCATCCACAGCACCCCTCCCAGTCCCCGGCCCCACCCCAGGGACTTCCCTCAGACGCGTGTGGGTGGCTGTGTCAGAGAAGGTGGCATGGGGGCAGGAGGGAGACAGAGCCCCACGCCTACCCCAGAACCAGGGGCCGTTCCTCATGGACCCTGGGTGTGCTCTGCCAGACGCCAGGCCTGGCCATCCGCCCAGTGCACAGAGAGGAACTCCTCAGCCAGGCCGCGGCCACGGAGATGCTGCTGGACTCTCTTCTCCGTCCCATTTGAGGAGGGACACCCAGCAGCCCCATGGGGTCTTCCCTTCTTCCCCAGGGCTCCCCTGACCCTAACCTGAGCTGGAGACAGCCCCGGAGCCCACTGCTGAGCCTGCAGGGAGTCCCAGGTCCCGGGGCGGCCACGTGAGTCGGGGCTCCCTGTGCCTCCTCAGAGCCAGCCCGGAACAGCGCACTCCCCTCTGGCTGAAGACCCCCCAGGCCCACCCATCACATGCATAGGGTTTAGGACGTCTCTCCTGAGCGGAGGCAGGAGATTTCCGGAGAGGTCGTGTCGGGCTCTACCCCAGCCGTGCCTGTGTGTGTGTCTGAAAGGGAGCAGGCCGGTCAGGTCAACCTCCCCTAGGACCTAGCTGAGCAGTGGGACTCCAGACCTCTCTGTTCCGGCAGCTCAGGGAGGGACTTGGAACTTGGTGCAGCGAGGGAGGTGGGGCTGGGAGGTGCCCTGGCCAGAGGACATTGGGGGAAGGGCTTCGTGGTGTGGCCGGGGGTCCAGGCCCCGCCCTGGCCCTGCTTCCCACCTCCACGCCCCCCGCGTCCTCTCAGGAGGGGACTCCCGTGGAGAGGGGGTCTTTCAAACGGCGGCACGGAAGTGCAGAGTCTGGTGGTGCAGCCCGAGGCACCTCCCAGGGGAGTGGGGAATGGGGGCTGGAGGGGCTTCTGCACTCAGAAAGCGGGGAGGATGCCTGGAAATCAGCCCCAGGTGGAGGCCGACAGCCGCAGGGCGGGGTGCGAGGGGCCGGGCCTGGCAGCCTCCCGTTTGGAGGAAAAGAGAAAGGGAGGGCAGGGCTCGCCCAGGGAGGGCGCCGAAGGGAGCCCGGCTCTGCAGCCCCGCGCCAAGCGCTGCCCTCCCCGGCCAGCTCCGGCCGCGGCCCCCCTGTCCCGGGGCTCAGCCCGCCGGGCCTTGGCTTGGGTGGGCCGGCGGCTGTCAGGGGCCAGAGCCCTGACGGATGAGCGCTGACGGCCCCTCTCCCGCGCCCCGCGCCGCTGACACCCATCACGCCGGGCGGGGACCCGGGAGACCTGGCGGCCTCTGCGCACCCCCGCGGCAGCCTGCGGGCGACGGGGACGGGAGGCGCGGGGCGCCCCTCACTCGGCCGCACACCTGTGCCGCAGTCCGCTCGCCGGGCGCTGCCTCCCGGGGTCCCGCCGCCCCACCGCGCGCGTCGCCCCGAGAGCTGAGCGGGTCCCGGCGCACGATGCAGGTGAGTGCGCTCGGGGAGCGGCGGGGGCGGCGGGGGCGGCGGGGGCGGGGGGGCAGGGGGGCCCGGGGCGCCGAGGGGGCTGCTCGCCCCTCCCGCCGCGAGCGCGGTCGGAGGTCGCAGCGCCCCCCGGAGCCCGGCGCCCAGGCGCACGCGCGCCCGCCTCTGCCGCCAACTTCAGCGGGTGCGAGCGGCGTCGGGGGTTCGCGGGCGGCGGCGGAGGCTGCGGAGTCGCTGCCGCGAGACTGACCGCCGGCCCGAGGGGTCCGGCTCCGGGCGCCCGGCCTCAGTTTCCCCCCGGGAGCCACATCCTACCTCGAGAGCCCGAGCGCGTCCGCGGGGTCCGAGTCGTTGCCGGCACGGGGCGGGGAGGGCGGGAAGTTTTCGCCCCACGCGCGGCCTCAGACTTGGCGGCTCCGCGGGCTCCGCTCCCAGCCGGGCGCAGGTAGGGGTGGCGGGGGCTTCGGGGGCTTCGGGGGCGGCGGGTGGCCAGGAGTGTGGGGGCGCGAGGGGCGGCTGGACCCTGCACCCCACTTCTCGGCGTCCAGGAGCTGCGCGAGGGGAGGGAGGTCCGCTCTCAGGGGCTGGGCGGGAAGGGCAGGGGCCGGGTCTGCGGTCTGGGACGGGAGCCTGCCCTGGCGCTCTCCTCACCCGCCTGTGTGGGGCTCCCCGCTTCCGGGGTGGGGGGCAGCGGGGTCTGAGGGTGGCTGGTCAAGGGTACCCGGCTGCTGGGCGCCACCTCCTGACCCAGGGTGGGGCCTTGTGCCCCTTCTGCCACCAGTTCTCCCCCAGACAGGGAAAGGTGAGTGGGGCCGGGTATCCTGGCCAGGCACAGGGGTGCAGGGTGCCCAGGCAGCCACTGCTGGGTCAGGCTGGGACGTGCGTGTGAGTGCCTGTGCCTTTTGTGTGCGTCCGTGTGCCTGCTCTCCGGGGGTGTCTTTTGCTCTGTGTACACACACCAGGTGAGTGCCAGGCATCCTCCCGGCCCCCATGGGGTCGGCAGCTGCTGATAACAGCCCCTCGGAGAAGCCCCTGACCCAGGAACTCCGGGTTTCTGCTGGGAGGCGGGATGGGTTGTGGCACCAGTCGGCACAGCTGTGTGGCTCGCAGGGCTGGGTGATCGATGGCCCCGCACAGCCGCCTCTGTCGCCGGAGCACCCACAATTTGTCATCCACATGGGGTGGGGGGGTGGCAGGCAGGGAGAAGGGGCCGCCTCTGCACCCATCACCCAGTCCAGGTCGTGTGCAGCCCCTCAGGGAGCCCTAGGCCCTCTCCTGGCCCAGCTTTCGCCTCTCGACCCCCACCCTGTCTCAGCCACAAACCAGCCAGTCCGCCTCTGCCTGCCCATGCAGCCCGTGACCCCCTGCAGGGCCCCAAACCTTTGGACGAGCAGCCCTCTCCTGCCGTTAGCGGTCACCCCAGCGATGCTCACCCGGGTTCTAGGGGCAGCAGACAGCACTGCCCCAGCCCTACCAGCTCAGCCCACCTGCCATGCATGACCAGCCATGTCTGCATGTGTCCTGGGTGGTGTGTGGTGCCTGTGTGCACGCGTGAGTGCCGTGTAGGAGTGGGTCGGAGAGCCTCCCACACCCTGGGTGTGCTGTGTGTTATCACAGACGAGCAGCCATGTCCGTGACAGGGTGCGAGGCGTGTGTGCGACCAGGGTCCTTGCCCTTGGTGGCAAACTGTTCTGCGCTGGCTAGATGGCACAGAGGTGGCTCCACCGGGCACTGGGTGAGGGCTCTACGTGAGCCTGTGTCCTGTGCACACACGCTCGAAGCTCGTGTGCGCAGGCGTGCCGTGCACCCCACACAGGCAGTGCCGGGGCGGTGGGCAGCCCAGGTGGTGGCCCAGATGGAGTGTGGAGCGCATACCAGCACCGTGTGGGGCGTGGGGAGGAGCGGGTCTTGGCTGAGTGTGGCCGCTGCAGGCTTGGCCACTGACCTGCCTGAAGCCACCCAGATGGAGCTGAGCTGAGCAGGTGGCTGAGCCACGGGGCCATGCTGGGACATCCACTCCCCACAGCCTGGCCTGGCCCCATGTGAGGCTGACCCCCTCAGAGACCCCCAGTGTCCACCTGACGCCCTGCTGGAACAGGCTCTGCATGCTCGGGTGCGCACACACGTACACATACGCACGCACACATGCACACACATGTACACACGCACACACGCGTACACACGCGCGCCCGCAGCGTCATCCCGTGCAGGCCCTAGTGTTGGTGTCTCGTCTCAGTGCCTTTCCCTCGTTTTCGAACAGGGGCGAGCAGGGGTTGCCGGGGGTCCTGAAACTCGGAGGCTGATGCCTTCCTGGAGTGAGACCTGGTCACGCTGACTCTTTTAGCCACTCACATGCTGTGGGGAGACGGGTGTGGGCTGAATTATTCTAGAAATCGGCCAGCGAGCGGGCCTGGCCTTGGGGGTGGGGACTTGTGTAGGGTCAGCCGGTAAATAAAGGACACCTAGTTAAAATCAAATTTCAGATAAACAAGGAACGCGTTTCTCGTGTGTGTTTCCGATGCTGCCCAGGCTACACGAACTCTCAGAAGTGACGTGCTGCTGCTGGTCTCAGTCAGAAGCCGCTGAGTGTCTGGACTTGTGTTTTTTTTGGTGCCCTGCACTTTGCTGCACTGGCCACCCTGGAAGTGTACATGGGGAGGAGCCACAAGAGGGGGCCGGGCAGTGCAGGGAGGAGGCAGGGGGCACCCTGGGCTCCCGTCCCTGGAGCTTCGCGAGCCCTGCATGGGGAGCAGTGGGGAGTGGGCTGGGCGCTGACTGTGGCCACATCTGCAGGTGGCCGTGGTGCCCGGACCTGCTGCATAGCAGGCTGCCATGTCTCGGGAGGCGGGCTCGTGCCGCATGGGCACAGGGACGAGGGCGCGGTCTCGGAAGCCGAAGAAGCCACACTACATCCCGCGGCCCTGGGGCAAACCCTACAACTACAAATGCTTCCAGTGCCCCTTCACCTGCCTGGAGAAGTCGCACCTCTACAACCACATGAAGTACAGCCTCTGCAAAGACTCCCTCTCCCTGCTGCTGGACTCCCCAGACTGGGCGTGTCGCCGCCGCCCCACCACGCCCAGGCCCCACGCGCCCACCCCAGACCGCCCTGGGGAGTCCGACGCCGGCAGGCTGCCCCGGGGAGCGCGGCCCCCAGATGCTGCCCGCACGCCTGACCACGTCGTGGATGCTGTTGTCCACTCCCTGCACCGTGGCAGGGGCCCCAAGCCCAGGGCCGAGGGGTCCCCAGGGCCACCACCCCCTGGGGCTAGGGCCACCCGGAAAGGTCCCAGCCCTGGTGGGCTCCTGCCTGAGTCGTGGAAGCCAGGGATGGGAGGGGCCCCAAGGGGCGTGGCTGTGGGGGACATGGCCTCAGCAGGCCCTGAAGGCAGCGTCCCCTGCTACCCCCCACCTGCTCCAGGGGAGTTCCCGGAGGCCCACAGCCTCCACCTGTCCCTGCTGGGTGTCAACTACCCACTCAGCTCGGGCCTCTTCTCCTACCTGGGGCCTTCACTGGCCGCTGCGGCCCACGTGCCCTTCCTGGCCTCAGCCAGCCCCCTGCTGCCCCCGGCTGCGGCATTCCCAGCCCTGCAGCCCCCTCAGCGCCCCACCCCGGTCCCCCGCCTGTACTACCCGCTGCTCCTGGAGCACACTCTGGGGCTGCCCACAGGCAAAGCTGCCCTTACCAAGGCCCCCGTTCCTCCGAAGGGTCCCCCTGGGACTCTGGCTCCTGGCCTGCTGAAGGCACCCGTTCCAGGGCTGGGGCCGTGGCCCCGAGTCACCCCCAGGGACTCAGGACAGGAGGGGGAGCTGGAGCGGGCGGCCCGGAGTGACCCCAGGAGGAGGCTGTCCCTGGAAAGCAGGCTGGAGCTCCCGAAGGCGCCCCCTGGCCTCACAAAGTTCTGTTCCCGGAGCAGGTAGGTGTCTTGGGCGCCCAGTTCCTGGGGAGGATGGGCCGGGGGGCTGGGCATGGTGGCTGGGGTCCATCCTCAGCTCAGCCACTGGGAAAGCGGGCTCCAGGCCACAGAGGACAACTGAGACCTAAGAGCCAGTGCGGGGGTCCTTGGGGTCTCCGGGAGAGCCCGGGCTCTAGGCTGGGGCCATGGGGCAGAGGACATGAGGGGGGTGGGGCAGGGCTGGGGGCACCGTTGGGGGAGTTCAGCCTCACAACTGGCTCCCACACCCCCAGCTTGCCCACCGGCTCCTCTGCGATGATGTGGCCTGAGGACAGGGAGCCGGGCAGCCCCGAGGGTCCCTTCCCGCCGCAGCCACGGGGCTCAGCGCCGGGAAGCCCAGGGCGCGTGGGTGAGGACCTGACCCGGGCCCTCGGTGACTACGCCAGTTTAGAGCGACGCCTGGGGCAGCTGGTGCCCGCTGGGGGCCTAGCCCCGAGTCCCCTGCGGGAGCAGCTGGGCAAGATCCGCCTGGAGCTGCTCACCATTCACCAGGCGCTGGAGCGGGCCTCCAGGCCACCTGACGCACCCCTCGACCTCTCTGTGAAACGCGCACCTGCCAAGGGGCCCGAGGCTCTTGGAGAGGCCTGGGGGCAGCCGGAGCTGGGTCCCATGTTGGCTCGAGGGACCCCCGAGCGCCCCAGCATGCTGGGCCTGGCAGCACCCCAACCCTTCTCTGGCCACACCACCAAGTGTGAAGCCGACTCCAGCGTCCCCCCACCAGGCCTCCCCCTCCCGGCCCCGGACGACCCTGTGCCTTCCTGGCAGTGGCTGGGGCACCTGTGTCGGGACGGGGAGTTCCCAGAACCCTGAGGCTGTCTGCGGCCTGCAGAGCCCCCCGGGTGCCGAGGTCTGACTGTCTCCGCCCGAAGCAGCCCGACTCTCACCTGGTCCAGCCCCGTGGCCAGGGCCTGGGACCCGTCCCCACTCAGCATGCATGTGGATAGACCCCCTTGGGCCGTGGCCAAGGCTTGTCCCTGGGGCCACACAGAGACAGGGGAGGTCACGGTTATTTATTAATCGCAACTGTGGACATTAAAACAGAAACTGTCTTCACGCACACCGCCTGTGCTTCCTTCCTTTTGGGGCCCTGGTGTAGGCACCTGGACACCTGCCTGAGGAAACGTCCTGGCCTGGGAGTCCTGGGTGTGCTTCTGTCCTCAGACCCGGTCCCCTCCTGTGGGGGTTAGAGTCTGGGGGTGGGAGGGGACGTCGGCGTGGGGAGCTGAGCAAGGAGAGGAGTGTGGTCTGGGCTGCCTGGGGTGATCTGGCCTGTGTTGTAGTGCGTGGGGGGTGGGCACAGACCCCTGAATCCAGCAAGGCAGCACTAACATCGGCTCTCCTGCAGTTAAACGGTGGCCTCAAGGCTCCATGGCTGGAGGCTGCTCACCCAGCGTGGGCTCTGCTGGACTCTGCCAGCCCCTGCAGCCACGATAGGCATCAGCCTTCACAGCTCACTGCCTCCCTCCCGGCATGGCCTGGCTCAGCCTCCCATGGGCACGGGATGGGCAGGCAGGGAGGGGCACCCGGGACCCCCACAGCAAATCACTTCCCTCCTGGGAGAGCTGGCCACACCCTCAACACCCACCCTGGAAGGGGCCTTGGAGCCCACATTGCCCCGGAGGAGGAGAAGCAGTTCCTGCCTGTGCCCGGCTCCCTGAACTGAGCTGGGCTGGACCGGCCGGGCTGGGGCAGTCCAAGCAGGCTGGCAGCGGCCCCATTAACTGCCATGGAGATAGCATCAGCCCAGACCCTGCCTCGGGGCGGCCAGAGCTGGGGAGTTGCCTGGCCAGGGAGATAGCATCGGCACCCCCAACCCACTGCCTCGGGGCGGCCAGAGCTGGGGTGCTGGCTGCCCAGGCTCGGAGCGCGGCGGGGGGGTAGAGGGGACAGGTCCCGGCTGGGCTCCTCTACCCAGAGGTTTCATGGAGGGGCTGCAAGGGGCCCCGGGCAGTCAGGAAGTATCCCCAAGTCCCGAATCTGAGGGAGACTCCCTGTCCTCAGCCCCGGCACCTCCATGTGTCCACTGCACCCCAGTTCCTCACCCCCGCGGGCAGACAGGTGAGCATGGCCTTGCTGGGGGCAACGGCACCCGTCTCACAGGTGTGGAGACACAACCTCCTCTGTCACCCGTGGGGAGCAGGACAGGTTTTGCAGAGGGCACCTCAGCCAGCAGGTCACCCGCCCGTGGTTCAGACGCAAGGACTCTGCTTGGGGGTGGTGGCCTGGGGCTGCCTTGCCACTTGGAGTAATGAACTTGCTGTCTATGGCAGGCCACGAGGGACTCCCTGAAGCGGGTGGGCTGCGTGGCATCGGGCTGTGCAGGGAAGAAGGAACAGCGTCCGGCCAGAGGGCGGCGTCTGCACGGAGGCAGCACCGGGAGTCTTTGGGGAACTTGGGTTTTTATTCCACAGAAGCTTCCGGGGCTGAGGCCCAAGGCTGTTCTCTCCCTCCTCCAACGGGCCCAGCTGCGTCCCTGCCACTGGCTCCTCCCCCTTCCTCGGGCTCTAGTTTCCAACAACAGAGACTGCAGCCACCCAGCCCCGGAAAGCGTCCAGCGCGACAGGCCCCACGTAGAAGAAGCGTCCCTGCCTGGCCTCTCTCTGCAGGACAGGTGGAAGCCCTCGGAACAGGCTCCCTCACCCCTCAGGGGTCAAAAGTCTTCCTGACTGAGGGACTCAGGGAGAAGGGCTAAGTGTGGGCAACCCCCAAGCAGAAAAGGGTTTCACAGGCAGATGGATCTGAGAAATGCTGCTGGTCTGTCCCCACAAGGCTGTGATGCCCATGAGCTCATCTGGGGCCCAGAGCAAAACCCACAGCGAGCTCCATGGACGGCGCCTCCCAGACTCAAGTTCCAGGCACAGAGATGCTGGGGTGGCTGCTGGGCCCTGGGTCGCCTGGAGGGCACCAGGAGGAGCGACTTCCCCATTCCCGCACACAGTGGGGCCTTATTCTCTCCCACGCCACCCGAAACTTGGCCCAGTTGCAGAGAATCGGGGACGGTGACTGGCCTGCCTGGACTCCGGCGTCTGCACCTCACACTGGACCCTCCTGGAGCCCCCACTGGCTCCCGGAAGCCCCAGCTGCCTGGGTGGATCTGGGTGCCCGCAGGAGCTGCAGGAGGGCCGGCCTGCTCTTTGTCCCAGTCCGGGGCTGCGCCCTGTGTCCACATGCTGGATCTGGAGGGACGCCCCGTCTGCCTCCTGCCCTGCCGTGCTCCAGGGGTCAGGGCCTTTGTTCCAGAGGATGTGGCTGTGACAGGGTCAGGGCTCGTGGTGGTCAGCGACCCATCCATGGGGCTGTCCATGTGCTCCGGCACACAGCCCAGGACCCGGGGGGCCGCTGGGTGACGGTGGACACCTTCCCGTCTCCCCAAGGGCTGGCTGTGGACGCCCTCAGTCGCCTCCTGGTGACGGACTACGTGCCCAGGGCTGTGCACAGTTTCATGTTGGGCCCTGCTTGGGAGCCCCTAGCCCGGGCTTCCATGCTGGGTCTGGGGGACCCCTGCTGGGTGGGCCCGGGGCCTGATGGGGGCTTTGCTGTGGTGAAGAGTTTGGGGATGTGCGGCTGTTTGGCAGTGCCCGCCAGCCACTGGGCTCCCTAGGGGGCTGGACGGGGCACATTTTTGGCTGCCCAGCAGGCATCTGCTCCAACTCAGGATAACATTATTGTGGCAGATGAGCAGAGGGGCCAGGTGACCCTGTTTCCCCGGTCTGGGCCACCCATCCGCCTGGTGTCACAGGGGTTTGGGCAGCCCTTAGAAGCGGCCTCTGCACCCCAGGGCCAGCTCCTGGTGGCCAATGCCAAGGACAACTTCATCAAGGTGTACCAGGGCCTCAAGGAGCAGCCCTCCTGTGCCTGGGGCCAGCTCCAACACCTTATCACCATGGGAGGAACCCTCAGTGTGGGTGGAGCCTGCAGGCTGTGGGCCTTGCCTGCCTGATGCCAGCACTGTCTGGGCTGGGTCCCGTCCTCCTGCTGGTGAGGCTCCTGAGTCAGTGCCTCCCGGGCTGCCCCTGGCAGGCCTGCAGCCTCCCCAGCCGGGGCCACTCTCTGCTGTCCCCATTGAGTGCCCTGGCCCCTGCATGTACGTACCCCATGTCCACTCAGGCCCCGTGCATGAACTTTGCAGCTGGCAGCTGAAGCCTTGAGACCCTTGGCATGTCGGGCCAGCTGCCAGCACATGGCTAGGCAGGCTCTCTCCAGATGCCCCCGCCCAGGCCTCTTAATCAGAGGCAGACAGGCAGGGAGGGTGCAGCTGTGCGGGGCTGGGCGACCTGGGGCAGGGGTGTAGCACTAAGTGTCCCCAGTTAGAGGCACCTACAGTCCTGAGCCTCCAGTAGCTTCTCTGGGCCTGGCAGAGGTAAGGGGGAGGCAGCCCTGGAGGTGTCTGGAGGCCCATGAATGGCTGAAGCCTGGATGCCTTTTCTTCCACGTCCCGGTGAATGAAGGCTTGTCTGAGCCTTCATTCTGCAAAGGGGGACAAACAGCTCTGCACTCGAGGTGCAGTCGTGCTGCGAGGGCCTGGGAGAGCCTTCCTCTAAGGACAGACTCCTGCTGCTCTAGAAAACTGAGAAAAGGCCAGGCGTGGTGGCTCAGGCCTGTAATCCCAGCACTTCGGGAGGCCGAGGTGGACGGATCACAAGGTCAGGAGACTAGAGACCATCCTGGCTAACACGGTGAAACCCCGTCTCTACTAAATATACAAAAAATTTGCCAGGTGTGGTGGCACGTGCCTGTCATCCCAGCTACTCAGGAGGCTGAGGCTGGAGAACTGCTTGAACCCGGGAGGCAGAAGTTGCAGTGAGCCGACATTGTGCCACTGTACTCCAGCCTGGGCAACAGAGCAAGACTCTGTCTGGGGGGTGGGGTGGGGACACACTGAGAAAAAACAGGGAGCTAACCCTCTGCTTACATTTTACAACAGAGGAAATAAGGCGTGAAAGGAGAGGGTTCTGGGTGACTCTGTGGGTCTGGGGTCCAGGGAGGGCTAGCATGGGGAAGGGAGCTGGGAGGGACAGTGTCCGCCCTACCCCTGTGGGGTGGGGAGGTGGGGCTCGCCTGTGTCACGGGACACCACCCCTGAGAGGTCCCTCATATGTCCGAGCCCTGTGGGTGCGGGGTTAACCGGGGGATGCAGTAGGTGCTCACTAAACCGGAGTTGCTGCCACGCCGGGGAGTTCCCGCCCGACGATCGCTGGCTGCAGCCTCCGGGCCGGTCCCACAAGGGCTCAGCCTTCCCGGCGCCACCGGCCTTGGGGATCTGGGGGCGGCCCCTCTGCAGACTGCAGGGGAGGGGGCGGGCGCGGGCTGGGCCCCGGGGGGCCCGTTCACCCCGGGAGGCGGGAGCGAGGCGGGGTCCGGGTTCCCCGAAGGCCAGGTCGTCGGCTTCTCTGGCCCGAGGAAGCCGAGCTGAGGCAGGCTCGGGGGGTCCGGGTCTGGGGACCGGGCGGGCGCGCTGCGCCGCGGAACGCTCGGACTGGGCAGGCGGGCGGGCAGCCCGGGCGCCTTTGGGGGCCGGACCGTCGCGAGGCAACGTGTGCAGCCGGCGGAAGTGGGGCTCGGGTCCCGCGGCGAGGCTGGGGGCTGCGGGCGCTGTCATCTGCCCGGGCCCGCCCAGCGGGGTTCAACCCCTTCCGGACCCCCCGCTAGAGCGCGCAGCCCCCCGGGAGCAGCCGGTGAGCAGGGCGGTGGGAGGGCGCGGCGGGACCTCGGGCAGCGCCCCTGCGGCTCCGGGCCCGGGCTGGGGGCCCCGCACGCCCCCCGCGGGGCTGCTGGTTCCTCCTCCTCCGGGAAGCGGGGCGGCCTCTGGGCCTGCGCCTCCGACCCGGGCCCCCGCAGACCTTGCGCAGGGGCGGTCGGGGTCCGGGCCGGGCCCTAGGCCCTTCGCAGTTGCCCCGGGTCGCAGGGAAAGGGCGAAAAGAAGAATCATAGGCCCTCCCCGAAAGGAGAGGGGAGAACCCGGCCTGAGGAAGGCAAGCACGTGTTTGTTTTTTGGGTTTTCCTGAGGCGGGTTCTCACCACGTTGCCCAGGCTGAACGCGTGTTTGGTTTTCGTTGTTGGAGACAGACAAGAGTCTCGCTCTGTCGCCCAGGCTGGAGGGCAGTGGCGCCATCTCGGCTCCCTGCAGGCTCCGCCTCCGGGTTCAAGCAGTTCTGTGCCTCAGCCTCCGGAGTAGCTGGGGTTACAGGCACCCGCCACCACGCCCGGATAATTTTTTGTATTTTTTGTAGCGATGAGGTTTCACCATGTTGGCCAGGCTGGTCTCGAACCCCTGACTTCGTGGTCCACCCGCCTCAGCCTCCCAAGGTGGGATTACAGGCATGAGCCACTGCGCCCGGCCTATGTATTGATTTTGAGAGGGAGTCTCGCCCTGTCTCTCAGGCTGGAGTGCAGTGGTGTGATCTTGGCCCACTGCAACCTCTGCCTCCCGGGTTCAAGCGATTCTCCTGCTTCAGCCACCTGAGTAGCTGGGACCTGTACCCTGCCACCACACCCAGCTAAGTTTTGTATTTTCAGTTGAAACGGGGTTTCACCCCAATCCTGGTTGGTCTGGAACTCCTGACTTCAGTTGATTCGCCCGCCTTGGCCTCCCAGGGTGCTGGGATTACAGGTGTGAGCCACTGCGCCAGGCTCATGGTTATTTTTTCAAACAAGGCGCTGGGAAACGCGAATTCTCCTGAGCTCTTGTGGAGCAGTGGCAGAGAGGGGCGCTCAGTCAGAGATAGCCCTGGCCTGTCCTAACTGGGCTGACGTCCCACCATTCCCGCATTCAGGGGAAGAGAGGAAAGTCTTACTACTTTCTGTGGTCGAGTTTTGATCCTAAGCTCTGTGGGGAGGGGTGTCCTGGAGCCCTCCCTACCTGCCTGCTCTGGGAATGGTTTCACAAGAGCACTCAGGATCCTTCTTAGCAGAGGAAGCTTTTCTGGCTAGCCTGGCGCCCTTTATTGTTTTTTTTTTTTTTTAATCTCAGTCTTTAAAGGAGCTCACACTGCCCGAGTTTCTGCGCTCTTCCTCCAGTCCCGCACCTCCTCTGCTATCGATTGCTGCTCTTTCATCTTCCTCTGGCTGTGTGAACCCGGCAGCCGCTAGCGCAGGCTTCTTTGTGCAGCCGGCCCTCCCAGAGGCTGTGGTGGGAGTGTGATGGGCGTTTGCCCCGTAGTAGCTTGAGTTCTCTCTCACGGCCCTCCCAGCTCCTTCAGTAGACACAAGGAGCTGCTGCTTTTTTTTCTTAAGGTAAAGTTTGTAGATAAAGCACAAGGAATACACACAAAGAAAGCGCTGGTATCGTGAGCACCTGCGTAGCTCGGTGAATTTACCCAAAGTGAGCCCAATGCAGAACCCGCTCCCCCCAACATCTGTTTACTGTTAAGCTGATTGTGTTTCTTCTCTGCCTATATCTGTGGGCAGTTTTCCTTAGTTCCAGTGAAAGCTGTTTCCCAGCAGGGCGTGATGGGTCCCTGGGCTGAGCTGGGGTGTCCCGGCTGGCTGATGCTGAAAGATGGGCTGTGCAGGGTGGTCCCCGCTGGTGGTCACTTAGCCAGAAGCGCTGGTCCCTCACGGGCAGAGCTGCTTTCACGACGAGCCTGGTGCCCACATCATGTGGCCTCCAGGCATGTACCTGCTGCCTGCTCTCTCCAGCCACTGAGGAAGTGGGCATCTGGGGGCTTCTGCAGCCGGACCCAGAAGAGCCCTTTCCTGTGAGAACCCCTGGTGCGGGCTCCTGCAGGGGAGGAGAGCAGCTGCGCTGGCCTCTTAAGCCCTGGGCATTTCTGTGTGACGCGTCTTCCACAGCCCCTCCAAACTTCAGGAGAGGACTTCCCGGTCACACGACCCCGATGTGTGTGTCCTGCTCTGTTCCCTCGTCCCTTAAGGGCGTCGTGGGCACTGGGACCTACAGTCCAGGCTCAGGCAAGCTGTGTCCCTCCCTTGGGCGTGAGGGGTCTCAGCTCAGGTGGGCAGGCGAGATGGGGCTTTCCAAGTCTGAGGAAGACGTGTGGCCCACTAGCCGGCCAGCAGCACCACCACTGCAGCAAGGTCCTCCTGCCCTGTGGGGCCCTGGCAGGGAGGGCTTCCGTGGAGGAGGAGGAAGCCCCAGCTGGCTGTGAGGCTTGGCAGGGGCCCAAGAGAAAGCGGGAGGAGGAGCCCAGGGCCTAAGAACTGCAGTGTCTCGGGTGGCTGCCTACTCAGAGGCCACCCCAAAGGCTGCCGTGTCCAGCCTGAGGGCACAGGACCTGTGAGCCTCTATCCCCGTCTCTAGGCAGCCGCAGGGTTGGAGAAACAGATCCTGGGAGAGAAAGTGCTCCGCTGGGGGAGGCCTGCTCTGGAGTGGCTGTGGGCATGTCAGGGAGAACCAGGCACTGTCCAGGTGCCACAGTGAGGTCAGAGTGGAGGCCGAAGCCCTGTGTGCACCGAGCCTGCTCCCCGGCAGTGAGGCGGGCCCTTCCTGCCACCACGGAGGGGCTCGTGGGTGGCAGGGACCTTGTGGGGCACTGCCTGCTGTGCGCACAAGGGCAGTTTCCTCACTCATCAGCACTTCGTCTTACATTTTCATCTTCATTCTTGCTAGTTTAATAAGTAAATCATGGCTTGTCAAGATTTTAATTTGTGTGACCTTGTTGATGAGATTGTTTTTCTCCACGTGTTACACCTTTAAGAACACCTCTCTAATCAGGTTTCTCAAAAACAAATTAGAAGCCTAGAGTTCAGTTCAGCCCCACACCTCGGGCAGGTGGTGCTGAGGCGGCCAGTGCCCTGGGCCGGCCTGTCTGGAAGTGGAGAGAACAGCCCTGGGGGGGTGCCCCGTGCGGCTGGGGGGTGCTGGGCCTGGGGTGGAGGTGGGGGCTGTGCTCCGGCTGCCCCTTGGAGGAGCGTGGCCCACGTGAGGTAGCAGCCATGGGACCCTGTGGCCTCCGACCCGGAACTGGAAGCCCTGTGGCCGAG